AATTGTGTAACTGTAGGTCCTACTAAAATTATGTCATTTCTAATGGCAGATATTTAATCTGAAATACATTGAAAGTAAGACTGTAACTGTATGTCATTTAAGTAATTATCTTCATCATTATTTTTATATACAATTGGTAAACATTTTTTGCTTGTTTCTTTAGAGGTTTTATTCATAAATCGGTCATTTTTCTCTTCCTGTAAAGTTTGTATTTCTTTGTTTAGATTTTTCCTTTGTATTCTAAGTTTTGTTAATTCTTCTTTTAATGTGTTAATTTTATCACTGAGTTCATTCACAGCATTTTCAGATAGAAATTTGTCTTCGGAAAGATTGTTTATTAGTGTTTTTTGTTTTCTTGTCTAAATTATAGATTTCATATTTTGACACAAAGTAGTATGGTATATAAAAGAAATAATGCAGCTGACTATGAAATTTTTAGTTTAGTTTGTTTATAGGTTATGGATATTGTGGGTTGGTGTTTCACTGAATTAGAATTATAAGTTAGAATAATGTTTTGAAAGTAAATAATTTTGAAATATAATCCTAGTAAAAACTAATTCCGTTCTTCCCCATCCTCGTCGCCATTGTAAGTTAAAGATAAAATACATCAACATTGCATAAAGCCTGTTTTAATACCAACTAGTGTACATGTTGCTCGAAATCGAGCAATTGCAAAGGAGTAAAGTAGTTATTTAAAAACTAATAAAAGTTATAATTTCCGATGAGTTTAAAAGACTCAACAATTCATAGATTATGTACCTAACAGTTTCATATAATAAACATTTCTTGTAAATATTTTATAAGCTGATCTGGTTTTTAGGGTATTCTACACATGTTTCCCACTTATAGCCGCATTAGGTTGTCCATGTTGATTTTCGTCAATGATAATGTAGTCAGCATGGTAACATTGTCGCCAGTACGTTTACAAATTTCAGTCATTTTTTATAGCGATAACATTTTGTTTACATTACTTAAGAATTGCCTGATTTTCTGCATAACCTCTCTGTCAAAATTATATTTGCTTCAATTGGCATTAATTTGGCAAGGTACTGTTATAACGTAAGTTATATTTACCTGGAAAAATGCAGAATTGAAAGGCCTAATGTTCAGATGATTTTTTTGTTTCCCTTGAATGTGAATAATAATCTGAATAGTGTGAATTTCACAATGAAAGTTTTATTAAGGTTTCTTGGATGTAGTCATATTATTTTAAAATCACTTGACTTGTATGAAAACATATATTTAATGTCCTTGCCGTACCAGTTTAATTCGGCCTTAGAGAGGTTTCCTTTGCCAATCATCATAAAGTTAAGTCCGTGTTTCCAACAAAATAGTAGCACTTCGGCTAACACATCCTTGTTCATTAATTTTTTGTGGGAATCTTCGTATTGTATGTGTTCTTCTTTATATAGGATGATAACGATTGTATTTTTTTAAATCTCTATTTCTTCTACTTTTTTGGTGGTGTTCTATTACTTTCCTATATTTCCATGGTTAACAAATCAGTTCTTTCAATGATTGCTCAAGAATTACAATACCCTGTCAATTCATTTTTCTTATTTGGTAAAACATATAAAATTGACCAGGCTTTCTCGATTTTAGCGAATTTCCCATATAGGGAATAAGCTATTACCGTAGTACTCATGGTAAGACCTGGACCCGGGACCGATTTTTTTTTTCGTTTTGAGGTCCCTAGAGGCCAAAAATAGCATCCGTTCAAATTCATATATATATAAAAAAAAACTTAAATTTTTGCAATTTCTTTACAAACTATTTTGTAGAGCTTAAAAAAACAAATAATTTAGTATATTGAAGCGTTATAATGCGCCTAATGGTTGCGGAGAAAATTCAAAAAAATTGTAAATTTAAAATTCCCATGTTATTCTTATGGAGGATAAGTAAACTGTTGTAGTTTGCTTATTTATTAACATATTTTGCCCAAATTTGGAAAATGTTTTTATTTCTTACTAACTATTAACATTTTACATAAAAAAAACACTTTAACCCTCCCTGTTGCAGCAAACCTAAGTATGTGTTAAACTGATTTGATTTAAATAGGGAATAAATGTGATATTTTTAAGGAGACATTTTAGTGTAAATCCAACCAGGCAAATGGAAATTCGCTTAGTCTGCAGGTTTGCTGCGGCGGGGGTATTTTTTTAACATTGTAATATGTACGAATGTAAATTGAAATAGTAAATATTTAATTTCTTCAAAATCAGTAAATGTACCCAATGCGTTTCGTTGAATTGAAAAATAAACTAGGGTTGCTTTCAGAGAGGTGAAAGCCAGTTGAGCGGAACAAACGTGATTTGATATTTGTATAAGTAACTAAATGTAAAAAGGTCAATAGATTTATTTACTAATGCTGGTTTTAAAGATTAAAATTAGAATAATTCAAATTTACCTCTTCGAGAAGTGCATTATGGTAGTTTTAACCAGGAAAATATTACAGTAGTTGGAATCTGATATTAACATCCAAAAAGGGCATTAAAGTATAAAAAAGATAAAGGAAATTTACATTCAAATTCAACTGTAGCCTACAAGAAAAACATTGGACTTCATTTTTCACCCTTACAATTGGTTAAAGTATTTAAGTATCAAAAAACAGTACCTATTAAAAAACGAGTATTGTATAACAACAGGAGAGGAAATGTGACATTTAAATTCAACTGTGCAGCATAAACATCGGTTAAACTCAGCTTTCTTTGCTGGAAATAATTTATGATTGTTAATACCAAGTATTCTTGATGGAGGATATGATTGTAATGTAACTGGAATGTAGGTCTTCTGCCATTATTAGGACGATTTAGCGACGGCATTTTAATACTGGCCTAATACCATTGGCCATTGAATACAGTAGATTTTGATGAAAATGCTGGCTACAAATTCAACATGGGGATGGAATGTCTAGTTGTATTGATAGTCAATTGAACAATAAAATAAGATGGCTGAAATGTAGGCATAAACATAAGTAATAAGTAAACATCACATTCAGCTGATTTAAGTGAAAACAGAATAATATAATAAGTAGGGAAGACATGCCTTAAATATACAATGTAGATAATATAATTAGAAATTAGTATCCTACTTCTGGACAGGCCTAGACAATTATCCATACCGTGGTTAAAAGTGTACTTCTATAAGCCCAGGTTTACTTATTACGGTTGTAACTGGACGTATGTAGGCCTATAGTCCGTGGCTTGGCAATCAAATAACAGTATTTATATAGGATAGGCTACTGTTATTAACTTTTGAAATTACTGAATTGTTACCAAATTACTGTTTCACAAAACGCAGATTTCATTTTCAGCCGAGCCATTAAAATGAGGATTTGCCGAACAATTATTAATATTACAGAATAGTATATAATGATATACAACTTTTCACATTCCATAAATTATATGATAGTTTTGCTATGGTCAAAGGTCTAAATCCAAATGTTCTCTTTTCTTTTGGTCAGTATGTAATAATTTGCTAGAATCATTGACTTTATATAAAGTCAACGCTAGAATACTGTAAATGGTTTGTTAAGTTAAGACCATATGCAAGCATTTTTGAAATCGTTTCCCCGTTTAACCTTAACCAACTATTCCATTCCAAAAGATAAAAATTATATGGTGCAACACAAATAAACAACCCGATCACCTACCTATAACCTACACTTTACCTTCCTAATCTAACCTTACTTCAAAACACTTAATGTAGTCACGAATACTCATAAACCCCGACCTACCTCCCCACATGCCTGAATTAGATCAGTGTTCAATCTGCGTTTTATCAATAAGTGTAATAACTTACTGTACCGTCGATGTAATTCAACATAATATAACCTATGAGATATTATCGGATTAAATATTGATTTCGATGTGGTTCGATATATCGCTTATTAAATCCTGATTTCTAACATTGGCGGTTTCTAATCAGCTGGCAACACAAATAGGTTCCCAAGAAAGTAGTCACCAGTCCGTATCCCTCCGCTCCTTGTTTATGCTCCGCGCATTGAGAAAGTAGTTCCGTATATTTTCTCGATTTTCAGTAAATTCCGCGCCTTAAAAAAATGTTTTAATGGCATTTTCTTGTTTATTAAAATCATAGGAATGGTTTAAAAACGTTTAAAAGAAAAGTATAGAAAGTTCAGAAATACCTTATGATTCTTTTGTTTACATTTTTCTTGTAAACAAAAAAACTGTCATAGCTACTTTAGTCCCATAAGCCTAATGTTAAAAATTTGAAATTTTAAGTTCGTTTTAAATTGCATTAGCATTATCTAACTGAAATGTGTTTGTTTACAAACCATCTCATTATTAGTCTAAGTAGTTTTGTTAAGTTTGGCTGAAATGTGTTCAGCCGTTATTGAGTGATGGTGTTATATTGTTTGCATTGAAGTTGATCCCAAAGAGCTTCGCTCGCTTCGCTCGCTCCGCTCAATAACAGCAATTAAATTCTACAGCTGATCAAAATGTAAACAATTAAGTTCTCCATAAGGATAACATGGGAACTTTCAAAGCCACTGGGGCAGAGCCCAAGGGACGCTTTCAAAACTGTAAGGCCAGTTTGCAAATCTACGCGACACGCTCTTTCCAATGAGACTTCAATGGATAAAATCGGTTAAGAAATGGCGGAGGAGTTCAACCGACAAAGTTTCATGTAGCGTATTAATTATATAGATTCCAAAAACTCCTAACAAAACAAACAAATAAGTCAGCTGATACATATTAAAACTAGTTGTCTATTTAAAGACAGTACAGACTGAATAGCTCGCAAATCGTCGGCGACGAAAGGCCCCTCTTCCCATGCTAAACAGAGAGAGGCGGGGCAGTCCGTTACCTTATCATTTTGGAACCTCTTCATATCCATTTTACCATTATACATTTGATATTTATTTTTGTCTCCATCAAACCGCATTCATCATGGTAAGGTTAAGAACATACAGCCTAGTAAAATTGTATACATATATTAAAAACAACACACACTTAATATTTATCTTTCCAACTTACCTTTTAGAAATGGGCAGGTATTAGGAGTCTCGTTAGGGATCTAAAAAAAAATTTAATTTAGATACATTTTGCATTTTAATTGTTTTGTGCCCTTTGTCAATAAATAAGGTATCAGGCATCCGGTTTTGATATGTGTACATCGGTTGTCTGGTGATCGTTTAGTTAAGTATCGTTTACTATGTAATCCTGAACTAATTTTATTTACAAGGTATTAAGAGTAGGCCTATGGCAGTAATAAAACTGAGCTAGATTCATATTATTTTAATAAATGCCAATATTTTATTAAACAATTATAGGTCATGTGCTTTGCACACAAAATGGGTCTTATACAGGCTGTTCATATAAGTACAGTACTGTAACACGTAAAACATATTTTCACTTATTAATCTCCTTGTTTTTCATCTCCCTAATAAAATAATTCCAAACGAAATGCAAGGTATTTTATCGACAAGGAAGAGAGCATTGCCAGGATTCGTTAACATAAAATTTACTAGATTATTATAGTTATTTATTTGAGTGTATGTGACTTTATATAAATGTTCGTGAGATTTAGACTATATATATTCCACGAATACCTGAGCAGAACTGGTATTGATCGAATACACATAACAAATTACGTTGCTGGCCCGAATCCTATACTAATAGCATTAACATATTGTTTAGACAGTTCCATTTAAGCAATATAAAATTATGTTTATTTTTTGGCCAGTAACATAATTTGTTTATATTTATGATCTATACTGGGTCTGATCAAGTATTCGTGATACATTCGTTAGATTAAAATTACTGTCAGTTATTACTAACGCAAATAATTTAATGTTTCCTTGTTTAAAAAAGGTGTAGGCTTTAAGCAAACATAGCCTCCTCTAATACAAGGATGCTGCGAGACAAAAATGGCAACACCGCAGTGCAGGCCTACTGAGACAGCTGTAGCATCAATATACAAATCTATCTATATATTAATAGGCAAGCACGTTTCTTTAAAACCTTTTTTCTCAGCTCGTGTGCATCGTAGGGAAAATCTACGCATACCGTTAGAAAGCTATTTTCCTGTAGGTGTGCAGAATCCCTTTATAAATTTAAATAGGCTCAAGATAAGCGCAAAAAATGAGTTTAAAAATTTGAAAAAATTTACATGGATCTTATGCGTTGCCATGCTGGTGACGAAATAACAACGAAATATAAACAGAAAATCAAAACAAATGGAAGAAACTCCAATCACATGTTTTATTTACAGTGCGGGGTGAAACATTAACATAAGTGAGTACATTACATATTTTTGGTGGAGCTTCGACCACTGGACATTACTCGTATATATTAATATATATTTCGTATATTTTGAAATCAATTATTGATATGATGAAAGAAGACCCATCACGCATTTGGAACTCAATATACCGTAGCTGTTTGAGTTATATAAATCCCAGGGTGTCAAACATAACACGTAAAACTATAGTAAAAAAAATTACAGGCATAGTTGGACCTAGCTAGAATTCATTATCTTCTCCTGGAAATGCTAACATCGTTGCTTTTAAAAGTCAAATGCCATTTGTGATGAAACTGACATTATCTGATGAAGATGAAGAATGTAGTTTTGGAAACGTAGTGAAGAAAATAGAAATATGAACTAGAAATAGAAAATAGAAACTGCATCACGCACAGTTAACAGAGACAGCTATGAAACCAAATTAAATTATGATAGCCTTGAATCTTGAATCTAATATGAGCAAGACATTGTTGTCATTTTTAAAAGAGTTTGGTATAACTCACTGGTCTACCTTCCTTGATGATAGGTAACATTGCTACTTCTATATTGACTAAACAAAACACCACACTTCAAATGGCATTATCATTACTGCTAAATAAGAAGAAACTGATCAATTAACTACACAAATTTGGTATACAGTGAGGCTCGGCGGCTTAAAGCATCAGCGGCTGCTGCAGCTAGTAAAAATCCAATGTTAAGGGGCTTAAGAGACTGCAAAGATGGACTTGTACAAGCTGTAGGTGACAATTTCGATACATCTTTATTTACACAGAATTGCTTACGCCAAACCCACAGCATGGCTCTACTTATAACTCAAGTTGAAACCTCAAGCGACAACTATAATGCCAATCTAGTTATTACATATAACTGAGAAACCATGTAAATACTGTCAAAGACTTAATTTCGTTGTAAGGAATTCCTTCTTCCGGAAGCAGCCCATTTTTTTTATTCTAGTTTGGTGGTTCAGACACTCTTTGCCATAGCATTTACAAAATATTGTGCAAGGCAGTTTCCCGGCTTGCAGATTTTTGCATTGGAGGTTTTTTGGGACCATTATATCTATAGATGTTTACAGGGTTGCTTAGAGTGTCCTTCATAGGTTTATTACTTAACTTTGGTATATAACCGGTTTCAAGTATTTATTGAAAACCCAGTTTTGGCCGCCATTTTTCAAATATGGCGGTGTTTGTCCAAGGGTGTCAAGGTTATTATATACCACTCGGCATATTCGCAATCAACGCAAAAAACTGAGTCAGAATCAGTCAAAAAACCTTTTCCCACCCAAATTTCCAGGTCCCCCTAGCTGACGCCCAGACATTTTATTGGGCTAACACCTTTGTGAATAAGTTTGAGAGGCAGAAATGCATTTCTGACATGCTTAGTTCTAAGCAATTGTAAAGTTTTATTCAAACATAACGATTTAAAAAAAATATATATTCTACTGATTTCTAATTTCATTCTGCACCCACACAAATCTGACCTCAGCTTAGAGCCAAGCCGTTAATTAAAGGATAACTTAAGGAAAATGAGCTTAACATTTAAAGCCTATTTTATAATTTAAACTAAGCCATAAACAAGTTCATACATTTCCTCTACAATCTTCGTATATACATTAAACTAGTTATGCGTTTGGTTCCAAAATCGTTTAACATTAGACAGGAGGTTTACTTAGTTACAATTGTACATAAATTACACAAAATATATACATTATGGATTTAGTCATTGTTTTACAGTATTGCTAAACTTCTAATAACGTTTTCCAACTACTTAAAACTCACCCTCCTCCAGTAAGAGTTCTTTGACGGAGAATTTAATTCAGTAAACACAACCGTTGTGAAATCTTCCTTATTGTACATCCAAGAAAAATCATGAAGCTTTCCTCTTTCACCGAGATGAAAAATCTCCCTAGCAGATAAGTCTGTTTTTAGCGCCATAATGGTGAATGTTTGTTTCAATGCTTTAGAACAACTAATACCATCGATTGATGCTATTTGATGTCCTATTGGAGTTCGCAGTCTTATCTCCCGGTATCGGTCGTAGCAGCTCAACACAATTTTCGGACTTCCAACGCTCACATACTCTGCGCTAATTCCAGTAGTCCTATAATCTGAGAAAATAATAGAAATTTAACTCAGTTTAATAAATTCAACGAGTCATGCACACGCACAAAAATACTTATTTCATTCTAAAGCGAATTGACATCTGAATTGAATACTGTCCTGCCAATAATCATTTATTTGACCTAAGTGGAATTAGTGGGTGTCGGGGTTTAGGCTACTGGTACTATAGTAAATTCAGGGGCCATATTTATAACATCTAACCTAACCTAATCCAACCAAACTTCTATATGCGGATTAGGGCTAGAGGTGGCCGGTTCTCCGTTTCCCGGAATGTAGTATGGCCTTGAATTTGAAATATGAATTTGTTAATGGTTTCTTATCCATTGCACGATTAAGGGTGGTCTCTGTGGCAACTAAAGATTGCATTAATCTCAAACAATGTAACAATAAGAGTCTAACAAAATAATTAACCTTAGTAGTTCAATTACAAATAAATTAATTTTGTTGAAGTTTTACAGCTCAGGAGTAGAAGGCACTGTAAAATTAACTTGTCAAAAGTTAGGCTATATTTTCTTAAAATAGTGTTTGTTTTGAAACAGTATGACACTTTGAAGTCAAATACGTTTAAAATGTATATAATAAATGCAAAACCAATCCGTAATAAAACAACTCACCCGTTATATAACGACGATCAACGAAATCTATACCCTGAAACAAATAAAGTGATCTCATTAATGTTTAAAATGTATGTAGGCCTACATTTTATCTCCCCACTACTCCACTGATACAATCAATACTTCTAATATATTAAACAAATTTGATTTTTCTTTTCCGAGTTCGTTTCGCTCTTCTACCCGACCGATTTTTATGGTCGAGGTCTCAAATTGAAGGTATGCACGCACAGATTTTACATCAAGCATCGGCATATACTTATCTGTTGTTTTACTCGAGTATGGTGTTCAGTGTTTTTTGTTATTCATATTCAAATTCTGTTAACGATATCTTTTACCAAGTGAAAATAAACGTCTACTAACAAATAAACCACTCTAAAATTTCCCATTACTTACTTGATTCCGGCTTACATTATTCTCCAGGGATTAAAATACGGACTTCAACTAAAGTTAGACATCATCGTTGTTTGTAGTCCATTTTTTGTAGTATGATATCTAAAATTAAATATATATTTCCACCCTAACTAACAAACGAGGTTCCAGTTTACTTTTTTACAGCCGAAGTTGTTATGTGAAAAATGACAACGAGACAATGGATGATCTTCCATCAAAGTTAGATTTTCTCCCATAAGATTAACATGGGAGAATCTAAAAATTTAATTGGAAACTTTGTCTCCACTAATTTGAGAGAACGGCTGGGCGTAGAAACTTGGTATAGGTCTCCAAAGAAAGGCCTTGGTCTGTAGATGAGTTATCAAAAGAAACACGAAGTAAAGTCCCTTAGGGCTCTGCCCCAGAAGCCTTTAAAGATCCCTCGACAGATTTGTTTACATTTTGGCCATGTGGAAAATACTTTTTAATGAAACAGCTGTTAGTTTTTAAATTGTGTTTTAAACAACACACATTTATTGGGAGTTACTGAGATGTCCAAAAGAAGTACTGTATTTGCAATGTTATTTTCTGATTTTAAAATTGATTTTTCTCTGTATCATGTCATATTTTGCAATACAACTTTCCATTATGAAATCAGTGGAAATTCCTTTTCCTACAGTTACCTAACAATGTACATGTTCTCTCACTGATTTGAGAAAGCAAAGTGGCCAATTCGCTCATCAGTGAGACAATGTTAACATTGTCTCACTCTAATTACTTTGTCTCACTCCAGATTTGCAACGTGAAGGCACGAAATAGTGAGCGCGTAGCATGCAGGCAACGTCGTATGCGCGCGAAATACGTTGGCAGCACTGGCTGTAAATCAGCTGGTCAGCTGTTGTACTGTTGTATTTGTCACTTCACATTTAATGTTATATTAAAAGTTCACTTCTGTGTAAAAATAGGTTATGTTTCTTCACCAATTTATTTGTTTTATGGTAACTGTAGGAAAAGTATAATGTGCAACTCGAGTTCAAAGTACAATGGCCTCACTCGAGAAACCATTCCTCACTCGCCTACGGCTCGTGAGTAAGGATTTCTCTCGAGTGAGTCAATTGCTCACTTTTCTCACTAGTTGCACAAATAACTATTTATCACAGAACTCTTACAATAATTTCTCATATGAACTATCTAATATATATTTTACGGGTTGGTGTCTTTTTTCACCACTTTTGCCTATATTTTATCATATTATTCTAGACAGATCATCATAGGTTCATGAGATTACTGTCATACATGTTTCCAATCATTGGACAAATCTTCGATTGTGTAATACCATACAAAATAAAATAATACAAGTGCAGAAGGTCATGTTGCCCATTTGAGCCGAGTCCATATTTTGTTAAATTAATAGTAATTTACATCAACTGGATAAAACATTTTAAATTATTTATGTAGAACTATGTGAGAGCCTATGAATGTTATTAGAATAACGAAATGGGTTGTGCATGTTTACTAGCGCTACTCAGCAACAAAAACCTTTTAATTTATCTCTAAAAAATATATAAAAAAATATATAAGTGCACTGAGCAGCAGCCTAAAAAATACTATGTAACTTACCCATATAGTTACAAAATGCTCGAACTCGCATTGTAACATTTATAATTTGGCTTATTATTTCTCAAGCAGATTATTTATCTGCAGAAGAAATTTATTGTGCTCTTATCGTGTCTAATAACATCCAAAGACAGAAACCTTGCCTAAAATGGTACCTATCTGACAAATTATTTGCAGTGGCCTATATAACGGACCGTGGCCCACTGGGTTGTTAACACGATTATAACACGACATTTCGGCTGTAAAAAAGGCATAGAGTGTAAATACTAAAGTAGCTACTGTCATGACAGAAAGATCATATTCCTTTTAAACTAGATCACATCATCCTTCATAAGATACGTTGTTTAATAATGCATGTAAATGTCAATATTGACGTAACTGCCAATTTTACAGTGTTTTTTGCTTTTTGGAAATGCCGCATGTCATTTGCATTATTTGTTGCCAACAAAGGCACACAACCATATAAACGAGGAGGTCCCTAACAGTCCAAGAATAAAAGCCAACTTCACTTCAAGTATATTCCACTATACCTAACTTTTCGTAGATGAATTAGCGTAAGCATTGAAAGTAACCGTCGATTTCGACGGGTTTCACCTAGTAACTATAATTAGTTTAGTTATTTAACTTAGTAGCTGGGCTATGAGTATTTTCTGTTAAGCAAATTACATTTCCCATGCAGCTAAATACTTTCAGATACAAACTAAAGCGATCAACAGCTTGCGTCGGAGTGCAAACCAAGTCACATAATCTCTAGCATTAGTAAATTACCCACTTACCTTGGACCACTTGAAGTAAGCAACGTCTGGTCGCTTATCCCCGTTTACAGTTGGTTTCCGATCTTTGCCATTGCAACTGACACAAATATCATACCTACACCATTCATTGAAAGACAAAGAGATTACAATAGACAAATATTCCTTGCTCTTTTGTGTATTGAGGAAGGCGTAAAATTGTGAATCTATATCCAAGCGCCTATTAACAGTAACGATATGGCCTTTCTTAGACGATGCGATCGCAATAGAATCTCTAAACTTGTACAGTATGTAGGGATCATCTTCCAAATGATTTGTAAAGATCTCGAAAGAGCCTTTTTTTTCAATATCCCCAATGGCATCGGATGAAATTGTTTTACCTGAAAATATGCAAAAGATTAGATACTAGCAACAGTGTCCGATGTGTTTAAATACAACGGTCTCTAGTAAAATAATAGTTATGAAATCCATACACCACTTTACTCACTAATATTAATGGTACAGTTTAAGCACATAACATTAGAATCACACAATGAACATAAGGAACACACTTTAAACACAAATGCAAATTGTTAACAACATTTAATCAAAGAAAAATTAATTAGATTGCAATACTGTATAAAAATAAGCTGTTGAATTATTAACATATGTTTCGTATGATTAGATTATGCATACTGTACTGGTAAGGCTGTGGTTTCCTAGACGCGTAATAGATTAGACGCAGCACACTTGTCTTAAGGGGTTTCGTGTAAGCGGTTTCCAAGGCTGCGTATCTAATGCGCGCGCATCTAATACGCGCGCACCAATATCTGCGTATTTGACCGACTGCTCTCAGAGCAGTCGAATCTGAGTTACGCTGCGTTTTAGACACGTCTTGTGCAATGGATTCGGAAGTAAATGTTGTACAGAAGGCAAAATTCTCCAACAACGACGAAAAATTGATTGAATTTGTCTCTTCTAATATTATGGAAATACTTTGTTCATACAATTAAAATTTTATATTATTATATTTCATATCATTCGTTATGTAGAGTTAATTTCCCCATAATGTGTGATTTTAATATTTAATCCCCTTGTTACATGTTCCCTACAATTAATTTGTCCTCACATTTTTTTTATTGTTGTTACTGTATTAATAAAAAAAACCTAATATTGACAAATATTCTTTTCAAGTCAGCACAACCAACTCCCAAATATAAGTGCCCCCATAATTATTTTAAGAACTCCTGGACATCTTAGTAATTTACTCTATATTAATTACTAGCATAGTACCCAAACTTCTTACGGGGTTGGCGTATAAGTATAAAATGATTATTGCAGTTATACTTGTAAAAGGTATTTTCATCGATTCGGTAAATCCCGAATAGGTAAATATAATAACAGTAAAAGCAAATATTAACAGGGTAAATTAAGATTTATTGTTATCATTTTAAATTGACATGTTTGCTTTAACACTACAGTTAAAAGTTGCGTGAGGGCCACGTACAGTTCCTAACATGTATTTTTCACTGATTACGCTTCTTCAAAGCTTTTAATGCCAAAATATCCATTTCATTATCTAAATCGTCGTATAACATCATAGTAGCCTCTAGAAATCTCTCCCGTGAACTTATGTCACGCACCAACCGTGTGTATTGTACGCAGTCTAGGAAACCACTCACGGCAGCTGCGTTTTGGGACCTGGATAAAAGACGCTGCGCATCTAAACCGCTGCGCATCTATTACGCGTCTAGGAAACCACAGCCTAAACCAATTATTACTATCTATAAAAATAAATGGTTTTTCTTTTCCAAGTAGTGATAGCTCTTATACCCGAACGATTTTCATAATGTTTGCCTTAAAAAGGCATGGACGTACCGCATATTTGCCATCAAGCATCGGCATTCATTTTGACGTATATTTCGAGTTTTGCACAAACTGCCTCCCTGTACATTTCTTATAGGAGTTAAATTTGTTTTTTTTTCGAGTTCAAAGTTTCGCAGGTGGGCGATGGTTTACAGGAGGGCTCCTCTTTCTATCCGCCCGATTTTCATAATTTTGGTCTTAAAAAAAAGCTATGCAAGCACATATTCGTAATCAAGCATCATCATTAATTTATCTAATGTATAACTTGACGAAAGAATTTTTTTCACTTCAATTAACAATGTATTCTAGCAGCTCTAATTACATTATACATTTTGGTCTAAAAACCTTAAGTGAAATACCAGCTCTCATTTGAGCTATTGATTATTAAGATCGGACTACCTAAAGCACACTGCTGAATCACGAATCAACAATAATTACAATCGTTTTAGTACCTATCTGCAATCAATGATACGTTACTCTATTTTTATTTAAGTTATTTTATGTGTCTTTGTTTTAAAATACTTCAAAGACTTTCACTTGAGATATTGATAGTTTTAATCAGTTTAGTTCAAGATACTGTATCGCTCAATCAGAAAATATAAATTTGTTAATATCTTGGATATGGAATTTAGTTTTATAGATATATTTACTTAATTCTAATTACGTTATTCTATTTGTTTTGACCTAACAACCTTCATTGAAATACCAGCTTCCATTTCATTAAAGCACACAGCTAAATCACGACCAACACAGATTGTTCAAAAAATGGAGTTATTTATCATCGATTTATAGTCAAACGATCTTGCTTGCAACCTCAACAGTACTTTCATAATTATTTGCAAATCTTCACAAATTAGGCTATCCAATGACCTATTAATTAATAAAATCGGTTCAGTCCCAAGTAGCAACACAATATTGTTAAAATGTTGAAATAATGTTGCTTCACATTGTCAACAATATTGTTCTGAGAATATTGTTTTAATGTTGAAGCAAGATTTTCCCAACATTGATCAACGTTTTATGAAAATATTGTTTGATAATATTGATTAATGTTGAAAAACATTATTTCAACATTAACACATTATTTTCCCAACATTGATCAACATTTATTGAAAACATTGTTGTCAATATTGAATAATGTTGAAATAATTTTTATTTCAACATTGAAACAACATTAATAAGATTGAAAACTGTTTATGGACTCAGCTCATCCTGAAAATCAAAATAAATATAAACTAGGCTTTTATTAAGTAATAAAGGGAATAAGGTTGATGCTAAAAACAAAATACTAAAATAAAAATTCTACCCAAACGGGTAGAAACAAAAATATCTTCAATTTAAATTAGAACTATTTTCTTGTGCGCGCCATTAAAACGCGCGCAGATGGATCTATCTATTAGCTAGCATCTAGCATGGTAGCATCCATCTTCTCTTCTCTTCTTCATCTCATCTTCCATCATCGGCATTCGGCAGCTCCAGAGCATCTTTCATTTCAATCAAATCAATCATCTCTAGTCCTAGTCTCAATCTCGTAATTTTTATTTCACTTACTTCACACCATGTTGCAATGATTGTATTTTCCCTTTGCTTTGAGATTCTGATGTATAATAATACAATTATTTACGGCTGAAAACAGTTTTTTAATGGTGGTCAACTTGAGATACCAGCTTTAAGGTAAGTGCATCTTGTTATCAAGTTAAGTTTTGCATTCATAGTTACATAGGCTAGGCTTGCACTCTAATCGTAACTTAATAGAGCCAAGCCTAATTTATTAAAATCTTTTAACCTACAAATGCAGTACCGACTGCTAAGATTGATTGTTAACACACAAATAAAATATGTAAGTGTGATAGTAGGCTATGTAGGCTAAATAAGTTAGTCCTATAAGGCTAATATTTATAAGCAAACAAAAAAAAACTCATTTGAATGCTGAAAGAAAAAGTAAAACCTAGCCTAATCATTGAGATCATTGTGAATGCATTTGCCCAGAAAATTGAAGTTATAAGTTAATCATCTCCAAGGCTTGAATGATCTCACATCTTTTTTACCTAACATTAATTTAGACGAAAATGTGTTTTCCTGTTTTGCCATTGCAGTTTAACCTTTGACATATTTTAGCCTAGGATGTCAATATTATTTTACCTAAACTTATGTTACATACCAAAGCCAATTTACAACTTCAAAGTAGGCTACAATTTAATTATCCTATGAATTGGTCAATAATTTGTAAATTTAAAGTAGGCCTAGGCCTAACATTAAGTTACCGTTGGCCTTTTTATAAGCGGAACAACTTAATAAGTTATTTAATCCCAAGAATAATTTTAATGCTAGGGCCTGCATTGATCGATTTTACCATTGACTATATAACATTATACTACACTAATTTCGCTAATTTCGACCTCTAAAGTTAAGTAGCTTAACCTACCATTACAACTACATACAGTAGCCTTAACAGTAAAAAGTTAAGCTTATACTAAAATTATTTTAAAACTGAAAGATCAGTTGTTAACATTACCGTATCACTTTAGTTGGGTATCTGTGTTATTTTAGTTCATAGGTACCTAACTAACTTAGCCTTAACTTATTTAATTCGTTGGTAGCAGGCCTAACTTGTTCTGTACCGGTCAAGGTTGCTGTGCTTTAACTTATAGGCTATTCTTATGTTTGTTATGACTTAACTTAGTCACACTGCTTATGATTAAGTTATGGCAGTAATTTGAACTTAACTCGAACAGTAACCAACCTGTACATTTTTGCTTGTCTCTTGCATACAAAAAGCACTTAAACACACATTCTTCACAGGCACGAGGCAGAATAACAATACAGGTACATATGTTATTTACAACCTAAAATAACTTTTATGCTAGGGCCTAAATTGATTTTATGATAGGCTCTACCTTAACCCTCCGAGTGTTATGTGTCGTAAAAGCGACTCATAACACACCCGCTGTGGTGTTATGTGTCGCTTTTGCGACTCACAAACACTGTTTACGGCAACGGCTCTGGGACTGGCTGAATCGGATTGAACTGGATCGAGTTGGGTATCATTTTTTTCAGCTGATTCAGAGCTTTCTCCTGATGTCTGTTTCTTCATTTTAGTTCCGAAAATATTGTAGCAGACAGCTGACGTGCGTATTTGTAAACAGCTTGGTTAACCTCGCACCGATGACTGATGTGTTTTATTACGTTTATCGTTGTTTTAGTGTTAAAATCAAAAGTAGTGATATACGTGGCGCATTATAAAAAGATTTAAGTGATTTTGAAGGGCTGGTTGATGATCCTGAAGAAGTAGGTAGTGATATTGATGTAAATTATCAGCCAGATTCCTAGCTATGGTTAGGCTATGCATTCTTAGCTAAACGCTATGTACCGAAATCGGTTTTTTGCCCATAACTTAACTTATTTATTTTCAAATCTACTTCCTTATATTATTATATTTTTGGAATCCTCATAAAATTCTGAACAAAGTGGCTATTTTAAAATATTTGTAGA